ATTCACGCACTTTACTTACGACTTGACTCGATTATCTGTCTCTATCTCTTCAATCTGCAATTATTCTCGTCCCGTCACTTCTTGCCAGTCTTATATATATAAAAAATAGAAGGCGTGTAGAAAAGACCAGAGTTGCCACGAACAGACATGATCCTTCTAGAATCTCATGACGTGTACCTAGAGTCACGTGACTTCCGCTGTCGTAACAGCTAGAACTTCCATTTTCAAAAGTACGTAACATTCTTTAAAATGACGTTTTCATCAAAGAAATGACAGAAAAACAGGATTCAGCGACATTCAGTCGATAGGTTATTATAACAATATAACTCAAAGTAACTCCAGTGGAATCCGGTTTAGATTATGTAACATCACGTTTTCAATAAAATTTATGTGCTAGACAAACCATTAATATATTGTTACGACAGCGGAAGTCACGTGACTCTGGTAACACGTGATGCGTTTTTAGAAGATTCACGAAGAGACGAGATGTACGCTTTTTGTATATATAAGACCGGTAAGAAGTGACGGACAATTGAGTCAAGCGCGGTAGTAGGTAAAATGCGTGAATCGTTCGTTGTAAATTATAGCGTTTCTTTAAGTTAAAATGACGGTGGAAATTAAGTGTATTGAGAAAGAATAAACTAGTTTTATTTAAGAAAGGACTTGTGTCGCTGAAGTTCCTCGGGAAGAAATTTTACGGGAAATTAAGAAACGACCAGAGATGTAACAATACATTAGGTGAGGGCAACATGTGAGATACTGTCACAATTAATTATCAGTTAGTGTTCAACAGATATACTGTTGGAGTACAAAGAAAGGAAAAATGGAGCCCAGTCTAAAAACTGTGGAAACAAAAATAAATTAAATATAATTTAGGAAGCATTTAATTAGACGGTGTGTGTTACACCGAAAAGGGCGAAGGGCAAAAACCGTTTTAGCCTATGATACCCGAAGATAAAATCGGTAATAATTTCTGCTGCTGTCCTAGAGGTTGACTCTTGTCACACAAAAATCAGATATCAGAAGCTATTTTTACAAACCTTTCCATAGGCAACTTACAAACGCATTAAATTGTGTCACGAGGTCAGTTTTTACATTAAACTCAATAAGCAATATTATAGCTCAAATCTTTATTTTCAATTTGTTTACCTCTGTATCCACATAATTCTTGATCAGAGTTTTATATTCAAACTATGTCTTGGTCACATTAAGATAAGCCTAAGTGTTAAGTGAACTACAGCTGTGTCATCATGGGTAAAATCTAGATTTGAATAATCTTATGTAAAGCCTAAACCCTTATCAACTTTGGTAAAATTTAGAATCACATATTTAAAAACCATACTATAAACTAATCTTCGATAACGTTACATCTGGATTTTATAAAACAAAATTAGAAGTCATTACGGAAAACAGGAAATTACAACTGGCTTATATTGGGTAAATTTTGTCCAGGATAAAACTACGGTTGGAATATCTTGGTTAAAACTAAAGCTTCACTATCTGAGCTAAAACTAAAGCTGGGTTATCTAAACTAAAACTAGGGCTGGACTATCTTAGTTAAAACTATGGCTGACTCTCTTTGTTAAAACTACTAGACTATCTTAGTTGAAATTATGGTTGACTCTCTTTATTAAAAATATTAAACTATCTTAGTTAAAACTATGGCTGACTTTCTTTTTTAAAACTACTAGACTATCCAAACTAAAACTATGGCTGACTTTCTTTGTTAAAACTACTAGACTATCTTAGTTAAAACTATGGCTGACTCTCTTTTTTAAAACTACTAGACTATCCAAACTAAAACTATGACTGACTCTCTTTTTAAAACTACTAGACTATCTAAGCTAAAATATGGCTGACTCTCTTTTTTTAAAACTACTAGACTATCCAAACTGAAACTATGGCTGACTCTCTTTGTTAAAACTACTAGACTATCTTAGTTAAAACTATGGCTGACTCTCTTTTTTAAAACTACTAGACTATCCAAACTAAAACTATGACTGACTCTCTTTGTTAAAACTACTATACTATATTAGTTAAAAAGCCAAAGATACTTGTTCTTTATATGATATCACAATCTGGACCCATGATATTACAAAAATATAGACAAACCAAAGATGTGTGTTCTTTTGTGTGATATCACAACCTGGGTCCTCGATATTACAAAAATATAGACAAATCAAAGATGCATGTTCTTTTGTGTGATATCACAATCTAGACCCTTGATATTATAAAAATATAGATAAATCAAAGATGTGTGTTCTTTTGTGTGATATTACAATTTGGACCCATGATATTACAAAAATATAAACAAACAAAGATGTGTGTTCTTTTGTGTGATATCACAATCTAGACCCTTGATATTATAAAAATATAGACAAACCAAAGATGCGTGTTCTTTTGTGTGATATCACAATCTAGACCCTTGATATTATAGAAATATAGATAAACCAAAGATGTGTGTTCTTTTGTGTGATATCACAATCTGGACCCATGATATTACAAAAATATAGACAAACCAAAGATGCGTGTTCTTTTGTGTGATATCACAATCTGGACCCATGATATTACAAAAATACAGACAAACCAAAGATGCGTGTTCTTTTGTGTGATATCACAATCTAGACCCTTGATATTATAGAAATATAGACAAACTAAAGATGCGTGTTCTTTTGTATGATATCACAATCTGGACCCTTGATATTACAAAAATATAGATAAACCAAAGATGTGTGTTCTTTTGTATGATATCACAATCTAGACCCTTGATATTATGAAAATATAGATAAATCAAAGATGCGTGTTTGTCTGATATCACCACATAGATCTTCAGTTATCTATCAGCCAATAAAATAGCGTGTATTAAATCTTGCAGTTTTTTCAGTCATGTGAAGCCTATTCAAATAGTTCCCAAAGAGTTCGAGATAAACAAGAGAGTAACAGGGATAGAGATGATCTCTAAAATAGGAATGAAAAAACTACCATTGTTTTGTTTGTTATCAAGCACAAAGCTACACAAAGGGCTATCTGTGCTCTGCCCACCATGGGTATCGAAACCCGATTTATAGCAGGCATACCGCTGTGCCACTGGTGAGGGGCAAAAATAATATTTCTCTACTCAAACTAAAAAATCTACAAGTATTCTATAGTCGAAATGGAAATATGGACAGAATATTTTAATTGGAGTAACTGAGTCGTGATTTGTGGGAATGGTAAGCATGATGGACTATGAATCCGAAGGTCATGACTCGAGTCCCGATGCTTTAAAATCGTGCTCCGTCCTTGTGGTCATGGATACATTATAAATTTACATATGGGATGGTCAAAACCACATTTTGTTATAAATTTACAATGTGATGGTTAAAACCCCATTTTGTTATAAATTTATCAGTGTGACAGTTAAAACCCCATTTTATTATAAATTTATCAGTGTGACAGTTAAAACCCCATTTCATTATAAATTTATCAGTGTGACAGTTAAAACCCCATTTCATTATAAATTTACAAGTGTGATGGTCAAAACCACATTTTGTTATAAATTTACAACAGTGATAGTTAAAACCCCATTTCATTATAAACTTATCAGTGTGACAGTTAAAACCCCATTTCATTATAAATTTATCAGTGTGACAGTTAAAACCACATTCCGATTAGAGCAGCTCAAAAGTTGTTTTCCCTATACTCTATCAGATAAAATTCATAGGGATGGGTAGTGTACAGCTCTTGTGTAGCTGTATGCAAATATAGTATACTGTACTTGAAATAGATACTTATGAAATATAGTATACACTACTTGAAATAGATACGTATGAAATATAGTATACTGTACTCGAAATAGATACTTATGAAATATAGTATACACTACTTGAAATAGATACTTATGAAATATAGTATACTGTACTTGAAATAGATACTATAGAGTATATTCTACTGAAACTAAACTCTATAGAGTATATTCTACTGAAACAAAACTCTATAGAGTATAGTCTACTGAAACAAAACTCTATAGAGTAT